TAGAGACGGGGTTTCACCATGTTGACCAGGATGGTCTCAATCTCTTGACCTCGTGATCCACCCGCCTTGGCCTCCCAAAGTGCTGGGATTACAGGCTTGAGCCACCGCGCCCGGCCAGAAATAATTTTTCTAAAATACACCAATCACTTTTTTTTGGGGTTGGGGGGATGGTGGTGGTGAAGTGTTCTTTGCAAGTAGGTTAGACAGTGAGATGGATTGCACTGAACTCGTGTTCAAATAATCTAGTGAATAATGTATATCCTTAGGACATCTTGCTTAATGAATGTTTACTTTCCTAAAGCTGTTCGGGAAGTATTTTCTTAGGAGAGAATACCTTAGTCACAGAGGCATGTCAGTTTTTTTGAGACTGGATTTTGCTTTGCTGCTCACGCTGGAGTGCAGTGGCACAGTCATAGCTCGCTGGGGCACAGCCTTGAACTTCCGGGATCAATTTATTCTCCTGCATCAGCCTCCCAAGTAGCTGGGACTTACAGGGGGCAAGCCCTGACATCTGGCCAATATCTATTTTGTAACCAGATTTCTGGATCTAATTAAGTATACTCTGTACAAATGTATCATAATGTTTTCTTTTAAAAATATTTACAGTGGAAGTATGCAAAACCTAAGAGCTCAAGTGACTAGTGGTCTCCTACCGTTTCCAGAAGTGACTGTTCAAGCACTTGGCGAAGACGAAATAACATTAGAATCTGTGCTTCGTGGCAAGTTTGCTGCAGGTAAAAATAATGTTGCCAAACATATACTAATAACAATTGATTTGTAAGATAAATAATAAGTATATATTGTATTTTCTTTATTTGGAAGAAGAAAAAGCAGAACCTAAGATCTACAATTACATATATGACATGTATAAGCTCTTGAACACATTATCAGTGAACCTCTGATTGGGGGGTTATAGTTCATTTTTCCTTTTTGGAAATCCCATATATATTGTATCTTAGTGTTATCTGTGTTTGGGAAGTAGAAATAACATGCCACTAGTCTTTCTCGATAATTAGGAAGTTTTATTGTTGATGAATTTGGATTAGAACCTGAATAGTGTAATAAGTAGAAAAATCTAGGGCCCTTGGTAGTAAAACGTTTTCAGAAAATCTCATTTTCTAGTTTCATTCACCTGAACAAGATCTTATATGTAACTTAGATTGTATAATACATCAGACCATACTAAAGAAGCCTTCTCTTATAGATCTTGGTCTAATGAAGGATACTGCAGAAGACTGTTGAAAATAAGTTTCATAGCCATCTTCCCAGCAGGCAGACAGTAAAGCATATGTATCAGTCATTTTCTATTTACAGTGCTATTCTTTTGAATGTTAAAAGGAGCAACAATGCTTTTTACATGCCAGGCATTGTATAATGACTTTTCATTGGAGTAGGTATAAAACTTTTCTAAATAGCCACTGTTCTGTGTAACTGAGAATGAAATAGTTTATTTGATCCCAGTTACACAGTTAAGTATCAGAAAGGAGCTTGGATCCCTGGCATTCTCAGACCCCACACTGCCATGCTACTTTCTTAAACTGTGGCCTCCCTTAGCTATAAACTTACATATCCAACTTGGATGCTTGGTGGATATCTCAAATTTAGAAATAAAAGTTATCATTCATCTGGTTGTTCAAGCAGAAATGTGGGGTCTGTTCTTGATTCCCGTTTTGCTCACCTTCCTGTGTGTAATTCCTCAGCAAGCAAATCCAGTTAGTTATACCCCTAAGATGAATCTCCAGTCAACCCACTTTTCTCCGTCTAGTCACTAGGCTGGTGTCATCTTTTGCCTGCTGCTACTGTGTGCTTCTCCTTGTCCATTCTTTGCTTAGCAGCTGGAGTAGTATTTAAAAACATACCCAGATCACATAGTCACTGACTTGATTTAGACCCTCCAGTGACTTTATACATTGCAGGCAGAGTAAAATCCAAACATGACTAGTAGGCGGAAAAGAGGTTCTGATATTTCTTATTGTTAAGCTAGTTATGTCTTAATTTCTCAATTGGACTGTGAACTCTTTAGAGCTAGAATAATGTGTTATATTTTATAGCTTCCATAGCTCCTAGTTTAAATCGTTTAAGGTATAATAGAGTAGTTAAAGCATGAGTTTTGGAGTTAAACAGACCTGAGATCTACTTCTGGCTGTGCTGCTTTTTGACTTTGGACAGGTTAAACTGTATTAAGGTTTAGCTGTCTTATTGCTATATTGAGGTGTGATGAGGAATAGATGAAATAATGTATTCAAGCATATACCGTGGTGGCTTTTACTGAATGACTATTATTACAATGATAGTGCTTGATTTGTTTTACCAACTTGAGGATCACTATGTTGTATAAATGCTTAGATTTCATAATGAACATACATATTTATATTTAAATGAGCTAACTGCTATTTGTTGTGTATATACAGTATTAAAATAAGCAATTTTTTTTCATCTAGGGAAAAATGGACTTGCTTGCTTGGCTTGTGGGCCACAACTGGAGGTAGTAAACTCTATGACAGGAGAGCGGTTGTCTGCCTACAGATTCAGCGGAGTCGGCGAACAGCCCCCTGTAGTCTTAGCTGTGAAAGAATTCTCTTGGCAGAAGAGAACTGGATTTTTAATAGGACTGGAAGAAACAGAAGGGAGTGTTCTGTGTCTTTATGACCTTGGAATATCAAAAGTAGTTAAAGCAGTTGTTCTTCCTGGAAGGGTAGGTACTGTTTAAGATAACTGGACATTCTTTTTCAAAACTGAACTCCTGCTGGTTATACATGTGTTTACTTTGAAATTTTATTGACCAACAACATTTATAACTTGTGTACTGTTACGTAAATGTGTTACTCATAGGTAAAGTGTTTAGAATCAGAATGAGGCTAAAAATGATGTTATTCAAGGAACCTAACATTTAAAATGTAACTTCCTTATTGGTTAAAACATTCCAGAGTAAAAATAGCAATGACATCTAATGTTCTGATACTCTCTTTTTGTGACAAATATCATCTAAATCTTGTTCTTATCTCCAGTTGTGTTCTGTGAGGACACTCAAAGTTTATAAAAATGTATTCATTGCTATGTAATTTTTAAAATGTTTTTTCCTTTGGAGACTACAATCTTGGAGCATTATGGAAAATATATGCTAGATTCTCAAGATAAATAAATTGAACTTGGTCTGTGCTTTTGAAGAACTTATAGTCTAGTGAGAAAAGATGAATGAATAAGATTATAGCATAAATATAATGAATACTTTGATAAATGTAAGCACTTGGAACATGTAGAATGGATAATTTCTAAAGAGTTGGACATTTTAGATAAAGAGCCTGGCATGGAAAAATAATAGTACATGGAGCATTTGGGAAACTGGACTTAATTTAGAATGGCTGAAGAGGAGTAAGGGGAAGGAAAAAGTGGGGACAGAAACGGTGAGGATTCAAATTTTGAATGGCCTTGTTTGTAATTAGGGACTCCTTTGCAAGTCACTGGTAAAGTAATTTTCTTTTTTCTCTCTCTTTTTTTCTTGAGATGGAGTCCCACCTTTGTTGCCTGGGCTGGAGTGCAGTGTTGCAGTCTCTGCTCACTGCAACCTCTGCCTCCTAGGTTCAAGTGATTCTCCTGCTTCAGCCTCCCACATAGCTGGGATTACAGGCACCCACCACTATGCCTAGTGAATTTTTTGTATTTTTAGCAGAGACAGGGTTTCACCATGTTGGTCAGGCTGGTCTCGAACTCCTGACCTTGTGATTCGCCCACCTCAGCCTCCCAAAGTGCTGGCATTACAGGCATGAGCGACCACACACAGTCGATATCACTCTTTTAAATAAAGTTTAGGCCTCTTCAGTCTTTAAGGTATAAAGAGGACTTAAAACACCTTTTTTGTGGATGACGGGTTGATGGGGTGCAGCAAAACACCATGGCACATGTATACCTATGTAACAGACCTGCATGTTCTGCTTATGTACCTCAGAACTTAAAGTATAATAAAAAATAATTTTTAAAAAATCTTTTTTATTTATTTTTTTAAAGAGTAAACAGTAAATTTTTCTGGAATGATTAGTTTTTACTCTTATAAGAAAAGGCTATATAATCCTAGAGTAGCTGTTTAAGAGCTTTAAAGTGAGAACAATTTAGGTTTGAGTTTTATGCTTAATGATTTTACGGCTTGAATAACTAGACTAACTTTCTAAGCCTCGAGTTATTTCATCTTTAAAGAGAGATAATCACACATAGCCTACTATCAAAGCGTTGTCATGAACATTAAATGAGCCAGTTAACACAATGCCTGGCATATAGTAAGCTCTCAGTAAACATCAATTGTTAGTCCAACTGCATGATTCTTATGTATTGAATAGTGTTATAATTTCTAATATATCTGAAGATTTCATTATTCAGATCACAGGTATTAAATGCAGATTTATTCTATATTTAATAATGCTTAAATCCATTACAACTGATAACCTGCTTTAACTTAAGTTTTTTGTGCTGTTATAATTGTATTTTCTCACTTTGCAGAAGAAAAGCAAGTTACGTATTATGTTTTCTAGGTAACAGCTATCGAACCTATAATTAATCATGGAGGAGCCAGTGCAAGTACTCAGCATTTACATCCAAGTCTGCGATGGCTTTTTGGAGTGGCAGCTGTGGTAACTGACGTTGGACAGATCCTTCTTATTGACCTATGTTTGGATGACTTGTCATACAATCAAAATGAAGTCGACGCATCAGGTAATCAGTTTTTTACTTGAAACCAAAAATTGAGCACCTGGATATTCTGATGCAGTATTTTTTAAAGTAGCCAAAATTTTTTATAGCAGCTGGAGTAAAATAAAAGATACCTTCCTGTCTATTGAAAAAAGGTATTTTAAAATCTTTTTTCTTCTGTTGTTTGATTCTGAGCACAGTGGATACTTCTTGCATAAGATACTGTTTTGTTGATCAAGTGTTCATATGTTCTCAACTAGGCCTTGAGAAAGGTAGTGATAATTGATTTCATTCGGTTCCGTGTATATACCTGAATAAGATCTAATCGTAAATGAATGCTGGAATAAGGGCTAAATATAAGAAATCTTCATTCTTATTAGCCAGTATGAAATTATCCTGCAATGTAGGATCTTATATAGTGTTTTTGACATATCGTTTATGTTTCTATGGTAACACCAAGATAGAAATAAAATAATAGGGAATAACAGAGTGATTGAAAGTCTTTCTCACAAAATAACACCTAAAATAGAAGTAATGCTATTCAGATTCAAAGAAAATAAAACAATTTTTCTCCTTTAAATGCTTATATTTATAAAATTAACATTTTTTTCAAGTGCTTTCAGTTTTTGAAAATTATGAGACTGGTTTATGTAGAAAGGAAGAGCTAACCTAAAAATGTGTATTTTACTCTTAATTTTTAGAAAAGGACTGTTTGACCCTGAAACAATTTTGACTTTGACTTTGTGAGGACATTCTTGGTTTTTAAGGCTAGAATCTCAGTGTAGCTCTTTTTATTTATCGATCAGCTCAGAAATAGGTATATTTTTAGAAAAGGACTATTTGACCCTGAGAAAATTTTGACTTTGACTTTGTAAGGACATTCTTGGTTTTTAAGACTGGAATATCAGTGTAGCTCTTTTTATTTATTGATCAGCTCAGAAATAGATACAAACTGTCAATATTTTATCTAGTTTATAATGTACGTAACTAATAAAAATTGTCCGTGTATTAAAAAAATTGATTAAAACTGCTATTGGTGGCTGGGCGTAGTGGCCCACATCTATAACCCCAGCACTTTGGGAGGCCAAGATGGACAGATCACTTGAGGTCAGGAGTTTGAGACCAGTCCAGCCTGGCCAACATGGTGAAACCCTGTCTTTACTAAAAATACAAAAATTAGCCAGGCATGGTGGTGTTTGCCCATCCCAGCCACTTGGGAGGCTGAGGCGCAGGAGAATCGCTTGAACTGGGAGGTGGAAGTTGCAGTGAGATGACACCACTCTAGCCTGGGCAACCAAGCGATACTCAATCTCAAAAAAAAAAAAAAACTATACCTAACAAGAAATGGAAGGGCCAAAATCATCTGAACAAAAATATGCAGAATCCAACCTGAAAAAATTAGATTTGGCAGAAATAATGGTCATACATGCACTTTAAAAAAATCTTCATAGATAGAAGCTATACCTTAAAATTTGATATGTATACAAACCTGATTGATTAATAAAGTTTTTGCATGATGTTTAAATGAAAAGAATTGATTAGCAAAAACAATAAAAATGAATTTGTAGACTATTAGAAATGGTTTGACTGCTCTTTATAGAAGATCAATCAAAGAATTAAGTAGGCTTGCTGGGCTTTTGTTTCAGAGTGTATTTTGTGGTTAGTTTAGGTGTAAGGCTAATTAAATGCTTATATTCATAATGAAAATTCCCTTCAAGTCAATATGGGAGTGTTAAAACATTTCGGAGGTTGATAATCAGTAGGTGCACAAGGATAATTATATAACGAAAGTCTCTGGATTGTGATCACAACCATTTCCCAATTTTGACATTTAGCAAGCACTTGAATTTTATAGCGCAAAAAATTAAGCTTTTGTTTACAAAAGTAATTTATGATTACAACTGTTGAAGCTTCACTGAAATACACCAAGATAGGAAACGAAGTTCCAGACATGCAGTATGCTGCAACTTCCCCAGACTTAACCACTTTTCTTATATATCTTTCCACATCAGAACACATAGGGTTTACCCGTTTCTTTTGAGTAAGTTCGTAGTATCCCATTGTGTGAACTGTTGATTGTTGCAAAATCTGATCACTTGTTCTCTGAAAAGGACATCAGAAGCAGAAGTGATTTGGAGGTGAGGGCTCTGCTCTAGGACAGTGTGATGTGTTTTCCCCTTTTATAACAATGAGAAAATCTGCTCTTGCACAGTGGTTATATTAATATGTGGGTCTGAATTTTTTTCTTTTTTTGTTAAAGATTTTATTTAGACATCTTCAGATAGAAGAACATAGGAGTTCCTGTATTCCTGTTACCCAAATTCAAGTTAATTTCAACATTTACCATACGTGTATCTGTTTAATTCATTCCTCTTTCCTCCTTTACCTCTTCTCTGCGTTAGTTTAAAGCAAATAGGGATATTTTATTACATAGTAATAATGCCATTAATTCCTAACATTAATAACACTTCTTTGGTATAGTCTGATATCTAGTCTATAATCAAATTGATGTGATTATTCAAAGCATCTTTTTACATTCCAATTGTTTGGATTGGAAATCAGACACAGTCCACACATTAATTACATTTGACAGTTATGTCTCAAGTCTCCTCGAATGTACAATGTACAGCAGTCCTCTTTCTGCCCTCTCTGTTTTTATTTTTAGTACCATTGACTTGCTGAAGAAGTTAGTTCATAGAATGTTCCACATTTTGGAATTAACTGTGGTTTCATGTTATATCATTTATATTTTCGATCTTCTGCAAATGTAAATTAGCTCTGGTTCTAGACTAAGGTTTAACATTTTGCCAAGGTACTTTGGAAGTGCTGAGTAGTTCTATATTGTATCACATCAGGAGACATAGTGTCTAGTTGTTTCAATTAGTGATCAGTGGATTGATGTGATGACAGCATGATTCATCCTTTTTAAAGTCTCTCATCAACCTTTAAACTAGTGGTTCTCAGTGAGTGGTGGGTGGGGGTGAATTTTGTCCTCCAGGAGATGTTTGGAAATATTAGAAGACATTTTTGATTGTTACTGCTGGAGGGAGATGGTGCTACTTGCTACTAGTAGTTAAGAGACTAATGATATAGCTTAGTGTCCTATAGCGTACAGGATAGCCCTCAGGTAGTCCCCCTTATCTGTGAGGGATACATTTGAGACCCTCAGTGGAGGCCAAACCACAGATAGTACCGAACCCTGTACACATTATGATTTTTCCTTAAGTCAAGAACTCTCACGGCCTCATTTAAAGGAAGCACTTTACAGCTTCTCTGGTATATCTGAATTGCCAGCATGACTGCTTTTGTGCTTTAGGGCCATTGTTAAGTCAAATGAGGGTTACTTGAACACAAGCACTATAGTACTATGACAGTTGATCTGATAACCAAGATGGCTACTAAGTGTGGCATATACAGTGTGAATACACTAGACAGAGGAATTTATGTTCCTTTGATGGTAGCAGATTTCATCACACCACTCAGAGCGGTATGCATTTTAAAACTTAGGAATTTTTTTATTTATAGAATTTTTTGTTTAATGTTTTTGGACCATGGTTTACTATGGGTAACTGAAACTGGACAGCAAAACTGCAAATAATGGGAGGGAATACTGTAATGCCAAAATTGCAAATACTTGGAACTAATTGTTTCCTTAAGAGTCTTGGATAAGTCACTTATTTCATTAAAGGCTGCAAAATGATGATTTTATGTTCTGTCAATGTAAAGAATAATTTTCTCATTAAGTAGGGCTTTTTGGTCACTCTGCAACAATGTGTACAGAACAGGCAGGATAAATGTTTATTATTTCATAAGTACTAATTTTCAGAGTAAATGGGTGATACCAAGTTACTTCCAATGGTTCAATATAAGGTCTTTTGTAGGTGGGGAGTGTAGGCTTCTCCCTCACCCCACACCCCTTTTTGAGGGTTAGCATATTTAATGTGTTTCATTAATTTTATTGTTTTTGATGCCCAAAATGTCCTGTCTTTGGTAATGAGAGCCCCTTCATGTTGTCGATACATTCCCTTTCATCTGTGATTCCCTTTCATCTGTGATGCTTCCTAGATTACTGGCATAAGATGTACTGGGCTCATTTTATGTATTTTCCTCCCCATGACCTGCAGTCAGCCATTGCTCCAATGAAAGTATTAAGGTAGCAGTTCTTAATTTCAATAAAGAAATAATCAGTTTTATTTATTGTTAGGCATAAAACAGTTCTACCTTTGATAAAATTTGAGATGTACTGAGAGAATTTTTTTTTGTTTTTTTTGAGACAGAGTCTCACTCTGTCGCCAGGCTGGAGTGCAGTAGTGCAATCTTGGCTCACCGCAACCTCCACCTCCTGGGTTCAAGCAATTCTCCTGTCTCAGCCCCCCGAGGAGCTGGGACTACAGGCATGTGCCACCATGCCCAGCTAATTTTGTATATTTTTAGTAGAGATGGGGGTTTCACCATGTTGGCCAGGATGGTCTTGATCTCTTGACCTCATGATCCACCTGACTCAACCTCCCAAAGTGCTGGGATAACAGATGTGAGCCACTGCACCTGACTAGAGAGTTTTTAAAAATTTTATAATTAAATGTATTTTTTAAATTTTAGCATTTAAATAGTTAAGGATGGCAGTTTTCTAGTTTAACATACTTTTGTTATCACTAAACTTTTAATTTCGGTTACCTTCATTTAACTCAGTTGACTTCATTTGTAGCTTGAATAATGGATGACACATTTGTTTTTAATGCTATATATAGTTTTTTAACTGCATTTGTCTTGTCTAATTTGTGTTTTTAGATCTTGAAGTTCTAACTGGTGTCCCAGCTGAAGTACCGCACATTAGAGACAGTGTGATGAGAGAAGGGCGCCATCTGTGTTTCCAGTTAGTAAGTCCGACAGGAACAGCCATTTCAACTCTTAGCTACATCAGCAGGACCAACCAGCTTGCTGTAGGTTTCTCTGATGGTTATCTAGCACTCTGGAACATGAAAAGCATGAAAAGAGAGTAAGCGTAACTTTTTCCCTTATTTGATTATAGGTAGTCTCTTTTTGCATATAGCTTGTGTTCAGTTACTAATATTTGAAAATTAGCATAGTGAAAAAAGGGTGGGTAGATTAATGTTTGAATGATTGAGTATGACTAATTTTTCATGGCATTAAATCAATTTGAATACCATAAAGGAGTGACTTAGCACGTGAATTTAGCTCGATTTTTTTTTTTCAGTGTTTACTTAAAAGGCATTACAGTCATTGTGTTTAATAACATGCTAGTATGACTTTGTAACTTTACAATGTTTTGGGAAACAACAGAACTTCTATAAGAAGGATGGCTCATAAAATTATACTGCATTTTGATAATGCCCTTTAAATATTTAGATACATAAATACTTAGCATTGTGTTATAGTTGTCTGCAGTATTTAATACAGTAACATGCTATACAGGTTGGTAGACTTAGGAGCAACAGGCTATACCATCTAGCCTAGGTATATACTAGGCAATACCATCTAGGTTTGTGTTACCAGACTGCATGATGTTCGCACAATGGCTGAATCCCTAATGAGCATTTCTCAGAACAGATCCCTTGTTGTAAAGTGACACATGACTGTGTTTGTATAGTATGAGTTCTTTCAGAAATACCTTCCCAGTAATTATCTATGGAAAGTAACAGCTTAAAAAATATTCTCGGTTGAGAGGAAAAAAAAGATTCTTAAAAATCAAAATTACAAAATACTTGGATTTCCAATTTTTTATGCTTTAAAAAAGTCCCCAAAATGTAATTATATCGATACTTTGTAGCTACGTTAATTTTTGTTAAGAGTTAAGTAGATGCCTCTTTCGCACTTGTCAGTTTATTTCTTTCTCCATTTTTCCTGAGGCATAATGCTATGTTCTCTTGAGTAATTTATTTTATGGGAAGTGCATCTCAACTCTCTTTGCTGTTATCCTTTTATCAGCTCTTGCCTTTGAATTTGCTTCTAAAGAAATACCTGGAGTACCTGGCTTCTACAGCAGTGCTTTCTTTAACGCTATCATCTCTTGGTCAGTTTTTGCTTTTTTAGGAGTTTATGGGGACTCTTCAGTTTCTAACTCATCTTCTGTTGTAGTAGTGGGGGAACTGACACTAAACCCAAGCAGCTGAAAAGTGTTATGGCAGTATCTCATCTCTTTGTAGTGTACCTTTTGTGGGTGAGCAATATGTAGTGGTGTATGTTGAATATGTCTCTTAGGACCAGTTTACACATACCTGAACGCATACACTTTAGTAATTCTGACTCTTCCCAGCTCTGTCTCTGGGGAATGGGTGCCATGACTATGGTCTTGATGTCTTGTCCCCTGTGTATTTTTGCAGATAAGATGACTTGGCCATGCCTCACAGTTCACTCATTTTGAGGGACTGTATCAACAGTTGGTTGCTTAACCCAAATTCTTACTTGATGTACCTTTTTCCTTCTATAAAATAACTTAAAAATATGAAATGTACTAATTTGTCTGTTTCAGATATTACATACAGTTGGAAAGTGGAAGAGTTCCTGTATATGCTGTCACTTTTCAGGAACCCGAGAATGATCCTCGTAATTGCTGTTATTTGTGGGCTGTTCAGTCTACACAAGATAGGTAGGTCTGATATATATGATTTTTAAAAACTAGTCAAAAATAGAACAGGTTTTAATTTTTCTTGGAAAGCTTTGCACTTATGTAGTCTTTTTTAGTGAAGACAATTCTTTCAGTGAATTAGTGAGTTGTAGTTGAAGTTGTTTTAAAAGTTAAATGGTTGTTTCTACATGCTTGAATAATTCTGAGGTATCAGAAGAAATTGTGCTTAACTTATTTGCATGTTTTTCACAGAATAAGAGAACCCTCCAAGTATGCTGCTCTCTTGTTCTTAGTCTCAGTACCCTGCTCTCTTATTCTTTTAAGTGTACTTGGAGATTGAGAACAAGAGAGCTAGGTACTCAGCAGTGGACTGAGGACTGAGAAGTGCGGTGTGAGGAACTTGAGGAAGGTGTGTTATGCTAGAAGCCAGTAAAAGAATTAAGAACTAGTAATAGGAGTTATTAAAAGGGATCAACTAGTAATAAGATTCAAATTCAGATGATGCGGCTCTGGAATCTGTGCTCTTAACACTTACTGCATGCTTCATGCTTGAGTACTGCAGGGTTCTAGTATCTTCACTTTGTGTCTTTATTGTATAGGCCTCATCTTCGTGGTCCTGGGCAACATCCACGTTTTAAAAAATTTTTCCCCCACCCTTCCCCCAACCGCCTTTTCTCCGCCCTACACTGCCCACCATCCTTTGAACATCTGCATTTTAAGTAAAAGAATACCAAGATGGAGGAAGAGACCAGGACAAAGGCACAAAGGACATTTTGTCCATTAAGGAAGGTTCTCTGAGGTTACCATGGGATAATTCTGTTTTCACCTGGCCACAACTTTACTGCAGGGCTACTGCACGTAGCTGCAAAGGAAGCTGAGAAATGTCTTGGAACTTCAGGCAGCCATGTGTCTAGAGTACGCCCATTGAGGAAGGAATATTTAAGAAAGAATATTTGAGTAATCAGTCTTTGCCACTTAAGATATCACCTACAGTATGCAAACAGCATCAATTTAGTTGATTAGAATTAATGAAAAATATAAATCAGTTATTTCAAAGGATTACATTTTATGAAAACAACCAAATAATACTAAATTCTTCACAGTGATCTTAGTTTTGTCACATGCTGTCAGCATTGTAAGCAAACTAAACTCACTTGGACAGTAAGAGATGTTTAATGTATTAATATATTTAGTGCATTTTGGTTAATTTCTGTTTCAGTGAAGGGGATGTTTTGAGTTTGCATCTGCTGCAACTGGCCTTTGGTGATAGAAAGTGTTTGGCATCAGGACAAATCTTATATGAGGTAAATGGTTATTGTACTATGGGTTTATATTACCATTTGGTTGTTTTTCTATTTTAAATATGTTGTCTTTATTTCAAGATATTGAAAAGCTATTCTGATATCCAAGTTAATATTGTTTTCATAATATAGTAGAAGTAGTATTGTTAGAGATCTTTTATTTCTAGATCAGGATATCCAATAGATTAGAGATCTGTTTTACTTATTTACCAAGGTAGCACTATTAACTTCTCATGTGTCATTTTCCTCTACAGTGAGGGAACTGGAGTAGACTCAGGCTTGTAGCTTAATTGATACCCAGGAAAAATAATTGGACTTCGTTGCTCTAACATACCAAGCATTAAGCCATGGGGTGATTTTTGTAAGAGGGTATATGCATCTAGACTTTTAGATGGCAACTTGTTTTTCTGGCTGAATTTCTGAGGAAGTAGTGGGGGTGCTGCTAATAGCCATGTTTTGTACACCCTCACATACCTGTCTCTAGAACTGATTTTTCTTAACCTAATGTTTGAGGGGTATATAAATTGGTTTCAGAGAATCCATAAACCCCCTGAATTATGTATGGCATTTTTATGATGATGCATTTTTATGGGAAGTCTCAGAGCCTTTTGTCAGATTCCTAAAAGTATCAATAAGCTTAAAAAAAAAAAAAAGGCCTAAGAATTAAGAATTTCTGTGAGAACACAGCTATAGGATTGCTGGTCTGGGATGTATGCATATATAATTTAGATTGTTATTCCAGTTTATACATCAACCAGTAGTGCATGAGAGCTTCTTTCTTTAATAACAACTCTAGAAGACTTGTTGGTAATTATTTTTGAGAGACTAAATCTCACTTTTTATTTTAAAGTATATAAAATTTTAGAGGCTTCTCCTGTGATTTGTTCTCTTCAGTCTAAAACTGTTTTCTTTGTATTGTGTGAACAATCTTTAAATTTGGAGAATATTTAATTTTAGAATGGCCTTTTGCCTAGAATCAGATTAATATTTGTGTGCATTTTATGTTATAGGGGTTAGAGTACTGTGAAGAAAGATACACTCTGGACCTGACAGGTGGCATGTTTCCTTTGAGGGGACAGACGAGTAATACCAAATTGTTGGGATGCCAGAGTATAGAGAAATTTCGATCTCACGGTGACAGGGAGGAAGGCATGAATGAAGGTTAGTTAAAGTACTCTTAATTTTGTCATGTGAAGGCTTGATTTAAGATTTATGACAGGTATTTTTTCTAGATTTCATACTCCTGGCAGTTAAGAAAATTAGTAATTATAGAATTTATTCAGATCTATATGAGATACTAGATATTTCTTGCTCCCCAGATTGCTATGGAGAACTAAAAAA